CTTTTTTGACCTTACAGTTCTTGACTTCTCGTTTATTTTTGTGTATTGGCTGAATTAAGAAGAAAGTAGTCCGCCAAGATACCAGTGAAAATACGGAAAATGTGTTTCACTGCAGTGCAAAATAGAATTTTACAGTGAAAATACGGAAAATGATAGTAAAAACCCTCAATTAAAAAAATATCGGGACTGGACCAAAGTGTATTTAATTGCGGGTGGTCTTAGTTTTGAGTATTCTTATCATTGCTTTCATACTTTATGACCATGTTTATTTTAGTCATTTTGTATGAAAAAAACAATATGTATCTTAGTTTACTACAATTACAATATATGTTTTAATATTTGATCAGATGAGAGCAAACCATTTTTCTGAAGAAATTTAATATCACATTCTCTTTGGTCTGATTTCAATATTTATTATTATGTAATGTACATTTTATAATATATTATAAGAAATTAATTCTTTTCAAAATAAATGTGCTGAAAGTAATTTTGAACCACAGTAACTCTAAAATTTTCAGACCTTATATCATACAATAACCTTACAATAACAGTTTTTGGCACCTTGTTAAATCAAGTGTCATGCCTAAGAGCATTCAAGCAGATAATAACAACAAATATGTGATCTTGGTTGGACTGGTGTTGACTTCAAAATAAGTGTCTCAATAGTGAGTTCAAATAAAGAATAAATCAAAGAATTGGGACTGAATATGGTGGTCTTAAAAGTGGATAACCGGGGTGGTCTTAATTCTGGAGCATGTAACGATTGGCATATAGAACAGAAAATTCCGTTCTTTTAAAAACTGGTCTTAATAACGGGGTCGTCTTAAATCTGAGTTGGTCTTAAGTATGGATTCTACTGTACGCATTTCATTTTATCAAAGTTCACAATATTTCAAAGTATTTATAAGTATATAATAAACACAAGTACACAACTATACGTGTATCAAATATCCTGTATATAATGCATATTAAAGCAATAAAATTCATAGAGAATAATTAGAATACATAATGATTAAGTAAATCGATCATTGTTTATTGCATCATCTCATAACTGAAAGATTTGCGGTGGTTTTGACTCATTTTCTTGAATATTTTTTAGTTAATTTAATTTTATATGAACTAAAGAGTCTTAATTGGTTTTACAAAAAAAAAATAAAAAAAATATATATAATAAATACTGGAACCAATTTCCAAGATATGGGGGCTAGGCAGCACCGCCTGATATAAGATTGAAATATTTTCAGTTTGAAAACTAGAATGTAAGTGTTTAGTTAATACTATTTTTTTAGGCATTTTATCCTTTTTTTTATCTCAAATCCATAAATATTTTTAAACAACAAACTCTGATTTATTATTTACACCCAAAACAAAGAACTCTGATCATTATTTACACCCAAAATAAACACACGTCATTTACCAACCACTTATACGAAATATCTTTTCACGTATACGTCTTTTAAACGAAACAAAACTAGACACCTGGCGAGCCCAAGCTCTAAACAACTTATGACCAAACAAATCAATAGAATCACCACAAAATGAAGAACACAAAAATAGCATTCAACCAACTTCAACAAATCAACAAAACTCCATTCTCTTCTCAACAAAAAAAAATAAACGCTACACACTACTAAATGTTACTGTTTAAACCGATTTGACATTTAAAACATGTAAACACAGTTTACTATACGCATAGCAATAGGTTTACATTGAAATATGATACACTTCAGTGTAGAAAAACATTATTAACTCTTTGTAAAAAAATATCTACAGTGAAACTGCACGATCATTCTGACATAGTCCCCCTCATCGCCAAGAAAATTTTGGAAATGTGACGGGCTAAAAATGGCCTCAGGTTGATCTTAAGATGACGTGTAACCAACGCTGAAATCCCTTTTACTCTATCTCATTGCATTGAGAAGTTTCAGCACTTTGAAATAAGTTTTAATGGAAAAAGCAATGCAAAATAGTGATTTTTCGCAATTTTGAGACGTCCCGCCGTTATCATGGTAACAGGAAATTTAAGATTGAGCATGTTGTTACAGAGGTTATCGTTCAGTCACAATAAGCTCACGGTGTAAAAGGTTAAGTAGACATAAGCTAGGAGATGTGTTTTATTATACCGGAAGTATGTGTATTCTTTAAATGAATCATATACTTCCTTTTCGGAGCACAAACAAAAATATCACACTCATTGTTTAAAACTATGTTTTCTCCTTTTATTAAGAGCTCATTTATCAAAAACTATATTGTTTGCAGCACAATTAATCTTATGTCCTATATAAGAGGGAAAGATTTACTTACTAATTGCATTTATTAGAGCGACGCAACGGAATAAAAACAACGTTGTTATGTATGTTATGTAGCTATATGCGTCAATCAAATTTCATAGGTAAATCGCACATACTTTAATAGCGTACATTAGAAAGGAGTGTTTTTATTTTATTATTTCTTTAAAACTAATAGACACATACATTTTGCACGGTGAAGTTTTACATGAAATAAGTGAAATGAATATGATAACACGATAATGGGACCTTTGTAACACGTTGATGTGACCTTAACAACCATATGATGTGACCTTTACAACACGATGATGTGATCTTTACAACACCATGATCTGACCATTGCAACACATCATACAACACGATAATGGGACCTTTACAACACATCATACAACACGATAATCTGACCTTTGTAACACGTTGATGTTACCTTTACAACATAATGATGTGACCTATACAACACATCATACAGCACGAAATTGGGACCTTAACAACACAATGATGTGATCTTAACAACACGATGATGTGATCTTTACAACACATCATACAACACGATGATCTGACCTTTACAACACATCATACAACACGATAATGGGACCTTACAACACATCATACAACACGATAATGGTACCTTTACAACACATCATACAACACGACGATATGACATTTACAACACATCATACAACACGATGACCTGGTATTTACAACACATCATACAACTAGATGATGTGGCATTTACAACACATCATACAACTTAACAACACGATGATGGGACCTACAATACTGTGGCCTTGACATATTCTTAACAATTTACACGTAATTCATTTAAAAAAAAACGAGGCTAAATCCCGGTACCATTAAGTTAACAACTGAAGAGCATACAGTGGCCAAATAATTGCAATGCAAACAATAATATACTTCATTGTTACAAAACTAAGTTAAATCTCGAGTTAGTTTTCTTTGTGACCTTAAACATATAATTGTAAGTTAACCACTCATACGTTCGTTTGTTTTTGGCTTTAAGTCACACCGACACTTTAAAGGTCATATTGCGACTTTCCAGTTTTACTTGTTAGCAGAGACCTTGTGTGCTCCTTCGTGTAATTATTCAGACAGAGGCTGGAACCTGAGCAGAGCCACTTAGTTCCATAAGCTAGCTTAGTAACTTCCTCACATGAATGCAAATGGTTACACTTATGATTGACCTACACACAGAGTATTAAACACTAATTGTTATGAAGATTGCTTTTAATTAACCGGTAACCTGTTGTAGTTTTATGGATTTGCCTTTCTTTGAATTCAAAAAAGGTCAATTTGAAGTTTCAGGTATTTCAATATCAAAAAACAAAACTTAGACTACCAACAGTATAAAGCCTAGTCAGACTGATACTGTTGACAAATTCTGAACACTTCCGGTTCGAGCAGATTAATGGTTAAGAAAAGAAATAAGTTTGGGAGCCAAAATATTTTACTAAGTTTGCTTTGTGTAACGACTTGAAGGCTTCGTGATAGGCCATTTTTTTTTTGCGCTTTGTACTTACAAGACGAGACAAGTCTTCGTGTTTTTCACTTTCACTTATAAAACAAAGGCCGCATTTTTATGCTCTATGTTTGCAAAACGGGGATCATGTTATCATGTTGTTGTTTTTTATACTTTCAAAAGGAATGTCACATTTATGAGCACTGCACATGCAAACAGGTCAGTTTTCGTGCCTCGTAACAGATGAAAAGGTCAATATGTACGAATGAGCAATTAATTTGGAAATTTTATTCAAAACTACTAGATTTAAAGGGATACTCAGGCAAAATAATGGCAAAAATATAAAAATGATTTTCTGTACTCAAATCACCCTAAAATGACATTTCTAAAGCCCCAACATGAATTTCTGTATAAATTCTATATATTTTGGGTTTGAAGTTTAAATATATCTATATATGTTGAACGAAATTTTGACGCGAACAGAATCACCGAATAGTTTAAAAACAAGTCATGCGATTTGAACAAACCCTGGAAGTTACAATAACAAATATTGTGGATATTGTATGATTGAAACAAGTCTAAGTAATTGATTTGACATGTTTTTTAACGTTTCCAGAGTACAGAGTGACAACTATTGTGAAATTTTAGCGCTCTAACCTGACCCACGCGGGTCAAGTTAGGAAAACACCATTTTATTCTTTATATGGAGAAAAGTTTTGTTCCTTTGACTGTTTAGTGTATTCATTTTGAGGACATTTACAGAATAATGAATGAAAATTTCAAAACTAAGAAATGAAAATTTTGCCTGTGTCTCCCTTTAAAACAAGAGGACTTCAAAGTTTTCTGACAAATAATACAATATTTAAGGCAAGCTTAATCATCAAAGTTTAATTTAGCACCTCAAACTCTCCATTTAAAGATAAAAATACCATTTTTAGTTGTATTTTTCTAGTATACAATAAAGTTTTCCTACGAAATCCGAACAGTTACAGTGACAGTTATCATAAGAACTCTTGACAAGTTATCATAAGAACTCCATCCTTCGTGTAACAGTTCCTCTCCCCATGAGTTTTAAGTAACTAGTATGAAACACGAAATTTACGTGATTTAACAAGTTTTTTTACTTTTAAAATATTTAGACGAAACGAAATATTCCCAGGCAAAAAATAACAATAACCGGCATGCCGCTGATACATTTATTTCTGTGTTTAGTTCCCTTTGATTTGTTTTTACAGTACTTGTGCCGTTTGTGAGCGGCGGGTGCAAAGAACAAATAATGGAAGACGAATATGCTTTAGAATGTTTCATGAAGATAGGTTACAAACCAGAGGCTGGAACTGTCGGTTCAAATATAAGTAGTGTTGACGGCATAGCGCAGTTAATATGCAAGTACGTTTTATTTTTAAACGGACATTGATACATTTTATTTCAAGACTTTCTCGATACATTTGATTTGAAACGAATATACACCCTATTTGTTTTAAATGGTCACTGATACATTCCCTTTTTTAAACGGCCACTGATAAGTTCTATTCCTAGACGCATGTCTATACATTCTATTTTTTAAACGGGCATTTTACTCTATCCTTTGAACGAACACTGTTTCATTTTATTTCTAGATGGACATTGATACATTCTTTTTGTAATGGACATTGATACACGAACGTTGATAATAGTATGTCGAAACATTTCTTTTTAAACGGACATTGATACATTCTGTTTTTAAACGGACATTGATACACGGACGTTGATAATTTGTAAATGGAAATTGATATATTCTATTCAGACAAATTTCGATACTTTTTATACACGGACATTGAAACCTTCTTTTTTAAAAACGAAAATTGATACATTCTGTTTTAAACGGACATTGATACATTCTATTCTTAAACGGATATTGATTCATTCTTTTTAAAAACGGACATTGATACATTCTATTTTAAAACGGACATTGATACATTCTTTTTTTAAACGGAGATTGATACATTCTATTTTTGAACGGACGTTGATAATTTGTAAATGGACATTGATATATTATATTCAGACGAATGTCGAAACTTTTTATACATGGACATTGATACCTTCTTTTTAAAAACGGAAATTGATACATTCTATTTTAAAAAGGACATTTATACATTCTATTTTAAAACGGACATTGATACATTCTGTTCCTAAACGGACATTGAATACATACTATTTTAAACGGACATTGATACATTCTATTTTAAAATGGACATTGATACATTCTATTTTAAAACGGACATTGATACATCCTATTTTTAAACGGATAGTGATACATTCTATTTTATAACGGACATTGATACATTCTTTTTTAAACGGATATTGATACATTCTATTCTTAAACGGATATTGATACATATTATTCATAAACGGACATTGATACATGTACATTCTGTTTTCAAAAGACGTACCTCTTCCATTCCAGCACTAAAGTGAAGGAAGGCTGTGTTTTAAGATACGTGAAGCAATGTCCGGAATTGTTGACATCTGGTGAGGCTACTCTGGCCGTTTTGGGAAAGATACCCGGGTTTGATGTACAGTCGCTTCTCAGTGATGGACTCGATGTCGTCTGTTCGATTAGATCTGGTAAGAATCAATGATATGTATCACTTAACATTTAACATTATATGTAAAACCCTGGTCCTTATTTCTTAATTTTAAAGTATTTTGTTATATTGGTTTACGGCATTTTTCCATCAGTCAAATTGTTAATGATAACATTACTTCCAAGTATGGAGGCAGGTAAGGATGTCTTTATACTGTTGGCAAATCATGTTTGTACTCTGATATTGAAATCCCTTCATTTTGATTGGATGTTTGGAATGTTTCAAATTAAAACATGACAAATTCATTATACAATATCGGTATAAGCCTTACACAAAGTAAGCATTAGACAATGCCAGCATTATACAAATTCCGCAATACACAGTGCCAGCATAAGACAGTGTCATATATAGGTGTTACACAATGTAGTAATTGCAAAGTGTCAGCATTACACAATGTCAGCATTACACAGGGTCAGCATTACACTATGGCAGCATTATACAGTGCCAACATTACACAATGTCATTATAACACACTATAAGTATTACACAGTGTAGTAATTGCAAAGTGTCAGCATTACACAGTGTCATCATTAAAAAGGGTGAGCATTACACAGTGTCAGCATCCGTGTCGTTATAACACAATGCATTACACAATGTAGTAATAGCAAAGTGTCAGCATTACACAATGTCAGCATTACATAGGGTCAGCATTACACTATGGCAGCATTATACAGTGCCAACATTACACAGTGTCATTTTAACACAATGTAAGTATTACACAGTGTAGTTATTGCAAATTACAGCATTACACAATATTAGCATTAACACAGGGTCAGCATTACACAGAGTCAACATTACACAATGTCAACATTACACAGGGTCAGCATTACACAATGTCAGCATTACACAGCGTCAGCTTTACACAATGTCAGCATTAACATAAGGTCAGCATTACACAGGGTCAGCATTACACTATGGCAGCATTACACAGTGTCAGCATTACACAGTGTCATTATAACATAATATAAGTATTACACAGTGTAGTAATTGCAAAGTGTCAGCATTACACAATGTCAGCATAACACAGGGTCAGCATTACACAGGTCCGCATTAAACAATGTCAGCATTACAAAGCGCCAAAATTACACAGTGTCAGCAACACAACACAGTGCCAGCATTACACAGTGTCAGCTTTACACACTGTCAGCTTTACACACTGTCAGCATTACACACTGTAAGCATTATACAATGTTAGCATTACACAATGTCAGCATTACACAATGTCAGCATTATACAATGTTAGCATTACACAATGCCAGCATTACACAATGTCAGCATTATACAATGTTATCATTACACAATGTCAGCATTACACAATATCAGCATTATACAATGTTATCATTACACAATGTTATCATTACACAATGTCAGCATTACACAATGTTAGCATTACACAATGTCAGCATTACACAATGTCAGAATTACACAATGCCAGCATTACACAATGTCAGCATTATACAATGTTAGCATTACACAATGTCAGCATTACACAATGTCAGCATTACACAATGTTAGCATTACACAATGTCAGCATTATACAGGGTCAGCATTACACAGTGCCAGCATTACACAATGTCAGCATTACACAATGCCAGCATTACCCAATGTCAGCATTATACAATGTCAGCATTACACAATGTCAGCATTATACAATGTTAGCATTACACAATGTCAGCATTACACAGTGTCAGCATTACACAATGTCAGCATTATACAGGGTCAGCATTACACAGTGCCAGCATTACACAATGTCAGCATTATACAATGTTAGCATTACACAATGTCAGCATTACACAGTGTCAGCATTACACAATGTCAGCATTATACAGGGTCAGCATTACACAATACCAGCATTATACAATGTTAGCATTACACAATGTCAGCATTACACAGTGTCAGCATTACACAATGGCAGCATTACACAATATCTGCAGCTTAAAGGTGAATATCTTATATTATTGATACACATTAGCGTGTTATGTTAGGTCTGTTTTAAATAAACATGAATTGCTTTCGTTTTCAGAGCCATGCAGCGATGTGTTAAAATGTTTTGCAGCACCCCAGACCGGAAATACTGGAGGGATTGTAAAACGAGCTGTTCCAAATTCAAATAACTATTACCTGCTTTTCCAGAAAAGCGCCGGAACAACATGTGGGTAAGTTGCTTGAATTAAATTTCAAAATTAATTAAACATAAATCTTTAAAATTCGAATATTTTCACAAGTTTTGTATTTAGTTGTTTATGTCAATTTTGCAGTTTTTATCTCAGACTACAAAACTGTCTTAACTAAAACCTTAAGTTTTTTTCTCTTTTTTTTTCTTCAAATTATGATTTCTGAATGTAAACATGACATAATTAAACAAATTCTGACTGAAACTAGTATCCTGAGGTACTAATAAATGTAATGTCCTTATTAATATCGGACGTATACAAGTTGTTGAAGTGAAAAAGTTTAATAAAACCTTCACACATAAATGTCCGTACAAAAATAATAACATTAAAACATTACAACACATTTTACTGAGAATGCCTCTATGAATATGTTGTCAATACTTGTCATCATTCAACAATCATTTTCAGGTCTATGAGAGAACAATTGACGTGCATGTTAAATGCTTTGGAAACATGTTCAAAATCATTTGTAGAACAGTTTGAGAACGCTCTGAAGGCGAGTATGTCGAACCCATATGGCGCGGTCACAATCGAAGATGCAAAATTTTTTATCAGGAATGAATGTCCCAAAATGCCAAAAGGTACCATTTTCATATATGCTTTAGTTTCTTCTCAAAGTAAATATTCCTTGAACATTACAATAACCTTAAGGTGAAATTGTTAACTTTCAAGCAGAAGTGACTTGGAAAAAAAATGATATCAATGATACATATAACAAAATGTGTTAGGTAATACAATGCTAGAATAAAACAAACATATTTGATATTAACATTTTTTTTGTTTTTTTCGGGAAACAATATCCTTAATATTGCTCATGACTGAAAGAATTTTACTTACATGTTTATTTCATTATCAGATTTTTCAGCAAGCACATGTGTAAAGAATGTATTCGTTTCCAAGGAATTTGTGAATTGTAGCGGAGAAGCTGCTGCAAAATACGCCGAGACCAGAACATGCAAGTAAGTTCTATCTTAATAAGCAGAGACCGGAACATGCAAGTGAGTTCTATCTTAATAAGCCGAGACCAGAACATGCAAGTAAGTTCTATCCTAATACGCCGAGACCAGAACATGCAAGTAAGTTCTATCTTAATTGTGTCATTGCCAAAATACGCCGAGACCAGAACATACAAGTAAGTTCTATCTTAATTTTGTCATTACCAAAATACGCCGAGACCAGAACATGCAAGTAAGTTTTATCTTAATTTTGTCATTACCAAAATACGCCGAGACCAGAACATGCAAGTAAGTTTTATCTTAATTTTGCCATTACCAAACTACGCCGAGACCAGAACTTGCAAGTAAGTTCTAATTTTGGCATTACTTAATACTGATTATGTTAAGGTGTTATCATTGTTTGTTGTCATGTTATTATTTAATGTGCCTCTAACATTAGTAACATTGGTTTGAGCATAATAAAGGGTCTTGTTTTCTTACGTAGTACACTACTGCTGAGCATTTTAAGATTCTGACTTGTTTTTGTTACATGTAAGTAATGTAATTTACAAAAAGTAAGTACATCTATTTTCAAATCTTAAAACTACCAGTGATAATAGTTAGAATACATATGATATTTTATTGTTTTCTTGATTTTGACAGATTACGCATGTTTTATAGATATATGTATTACGTACTGCTTATTATATACATGTATATCATCAGAGACAATTGTAAACCATTTCTAAATATTTTGACAAGTAATAAGCCAAGGAATTATAATGAATACGAGTATTGTATTTCGCTTTCTTTCCAATACGATAATGATAATCAAAACAAGTGACATAATGATCTTAACCAATGACATGACAGTCTTTACCATTGACATGATACAATACAAACAAGTGTCATGATAATGAATTTCATACATGTTCAGTAATTCGACAGCGTTCCTGCGCTATAATGATAGTCTTAACCATTGACATAATATTCTTAATCAGTGACATGATAATTAAAACAAGTGACATGATAATATTAACCAGTGACATGATAAAATAAACCAGTGACATGATAATTTTAACCAGGTACATGATAATATTAACCAGTGACATGATAAAATTAACCAGTGACATGATAATCTGAACTAATGACATGATAATCAAAACCAATGACATGATAATTTTTACCAGTGACATGATAAAATTAACCAGGGACATGATAAAATTAACCAGTGACATGATAATCTGAACAAATGACATGAAAATCAAAGCCAATGACATGATTATAAGTTTATAAATCTGTTTTTTACAATTATATTCTTTTTAGGGTATATGATCTCAGTAAAACGTGCGTCACTGCAACCGTGCAACCGAAATGTGGAAAAGAAATGGCGGAGTTTTTGGTTCGCAACACACACATAATATTTCCGGGAGTCCCAGATGATTGCGGAAATAAAGGAAACTCAGGAAGCGTGATTTCGACGTCATTCGGACTACTACTGTTTATATCGTCTCTGTTTTACATATTGTAACAATTAAAAAAAAAAACAACCAAACAACAAAAACATTGTAACAAAATTGTAAATATTTACTCATAGAACATTAACGACCACAAGAATTCATATATAGGACACTAGTATAAAACCGTCGGACCAGCCTGGAAATTCAGACAGTCGGAACAGAACCTTTGTTGTCGGCTGCTCGGCGGCTTGGTTCTAACAATTTTATATTAGAATTTCTACATTTATAATTTAAAAAATTCAGTGGAGTATGTAAGACTTGATATATTGTATGTAGATAGGTAAATGAAGACCTGAATGCATCTTCCTTAAGAATTCTTCTGTTCATTAGCTATACGGTTTATAGCATATACGTTTTTTCCTTATCACTTATAGCTTCATATTCAGCATTTTATGTATAGGTTAGAGTGCATATTGGGTGTTCTTCGTAAATAAGAAAGCTAAAAAGGAGCGGAGCTTGCGAAGCGACTGTAGCTTTCTTATGTACGAAGAACATCCAATATGCACTCTAACCTGCTAAGTGCTCCGCCCACTTGCGTTTTATAATATAAAAAGTCCAGTTTATATAAAATATGTTCTATTAAGATTTGAAACCTGAAAATTTGAAAAATCCTCGTCGGTGATTGGCTTAGAAAAATTGGCGACCACTAATATAAAGTGTTATACTAATACAGTGCTGGTTTTGTTTTGTATAATATTTGTCGTAACAAGTCCCCTTTTCTTTTAAGAACGAACACATTTCCTTCTGTATACAGAATGGACAAGTTTTATAACGTTTTAAGAAATAGAAAGAGCATCGAAGAACGAGGCTATCTGATTTGTACGAGGGGGTTCCATGTCGTTATAATATGAAACCCCAGAAAAAGTAACCATTGTACGAGCATCTTAATATGACTTTTTTATAAGTTATAAGTAAACACAGAAAAGGTTTAGCCAATCAACGAGCTTGCATTTTTTTTAGCCCTGACGCACTGTGCATGTATTGGTCTAGCACATTTTCAACACCATGTCTTCAAACTATGATACAATAATTATTTTAGATTCTACTTGCCATCAAGTTGTTTAAAATATAATTCTATCATGGTAAATCGAAAACATAGTGAAAACTTGAAGTAAAGCTTTTAAAAAAAAATGTTTGAAATGGGATATTAAAAGTTATCGTACTTAAGAGGAAACAATATTTATATTTCAAGTCTGTTTGTACTCAATATTTTCGTACTCTTCTGTACTCGAAATATTTGTATCAAATTACAGACAATTTACTCACCAAAACTTTGTATCTCGAAAAAAAGAAAAAAAGAAAAAAGAAAAGGGGTTTTTGATTATGATAAATAAAATCGTCATATACATTTGATTTAATCTGATATTGTCTGAAGATTTCACCTGTGTGAAGTATATGATTTATGTATTCTTACTTATGCCATGTACCATTCACTTATTGTATATATGTAAAGGGATTTATTAATAATCCACTAATATACAAAATAATATTAAACACGTGTGTTCTGTAAATAAAATTTTTAATTTCTCTTAATTTACCATCGGATTCACACCAAGACAAGTTTTAAATGGACTCCACTGAGGTTTAAAAGCCTAAAAACATAACATTAGAATTTCTAACATAAATGAACTGGGGCGCTTTAAACAGAAATTATATGCAAAGATAGTTAAGAAATATACCTTTAGAATACATCGAAAATCGTAGTTTTATGCTTTTCTCAGCCTAATTTGAGTGAAAAGCGTTTAAACGCTTTTCATTTTGGGTCATTTCTTTCAGTTAGAATAATTATTATGGAAAAACGAAGTCGCGAATGATCTGAAAGCTTGCAGAAAGATTCGTGGTCTACACCTACATCAAATGGTACATTTACCTGGAAAAAAATATTTTCAGTCCCATCATGTCAAAAACCTCAGTGGAGTCCCTTTAAAAATAAATTTGTTTAATTACCAGTACATTTGTATGAAATAAAATGCCGCTTTTAGTTTTGTTTTTTGTTTTTTTCAGTCATATAGGCGGGTAGTTTCCTAACCATCGTTCCTTGAGAGTTACAACAGTACTAGACTACCTTCCTCCGTGCTTAACTACCAAAGCATCTCCCGGGGATCGAACCCACGCCAGAGAGGTAACTGGATTAGAAGTCATTGACTCCAACCCCTCGACCACGGAGCCGCTTTTAGTAATTTAATTGCATGTATGCTATATTTTCAACCACCATCATCCCATACGACATGTTAAGTCCAAGAGATGGCGGGGCTTGATTGCAATTTACTGTATCACCAAAAGAAACATTGCCAACCATGAGTGAAACAATCCTTCAAGAAAAAAGCACATAATGTACTTTCATCATTCTATATCATTTGTCGAATCACACTCTGTTACTGTTTTTAATGTTATTTGATGTAATGCATATTTTATCTTTTTGTTTGGAAAAAAATGCAAATCGCCCTAAAAATTGCTCGTGAGTGGGCCGTTTTGAAATGTACTGAAATGCACAGCTTTAAGACTATATTTATTTAAAAAATATCAAAGTTGCACCGACAAAAAAACTACCATATTGTTTGAAATCAAAATTTGTCTGTGGCAACGGAGGTCTGTGACTTCGATATGTTGGATATACTCAGTGACAGTCTTGGCTATAAAATTTTGGATAAAAAATGGCTATATTGAACTTTTGGCTTTTTACATAACGTGTCTGTGGCTTTCCATATAAGTATTATAACATTAATATAAAAATTGGACCGATAAAAGCATCATATACTTTTTCGACCTTTTGTATTGAAGTCTTAATTCAAAATTGTCTGTGGCATTCTGGCAGCTGGATCACTATGCGAGTGATGGTGACGCTTGAGGCGATTATCTCAAAATCTGGAGGATCGAGAAGAACAGCCTGACGGGTTGAAGTAGACCGCTCTAAGGGGATGAGAAGACATTGTCTGAGCCCCAAGAATGTCGCACTCTCAAAGTAGACATAACGGGGGTCAAAGAAGATTTTTTCGAGGACCAAGACGAGAAGGTCATCTTCAACATACATCAGATTGGGGAAACGGTCCATGATCATATGGTTGTGCAGGTGAACTTTTCTGTCAGAAACACATGTCTGTGACACCGACCCAAAACATCTGACCGAAGCACCTATGCTTGTCCGTGAGTCGGTCCGTTCACCTTGCAAGTCCGCTTTTAAAATCCTTTATTTAGACATCGACACACTTAGCACATGAATATAATGCATTTAATGATACCATTGGTCTCTCATGTAATTTCTCAATTAAAATATGAAAATTATTGCATATTCTGTGGTATTATTCAGTGAATTACTAAATTCAAATAAAAAAGTTCACCATTTTCAATATTAAATACTATATAAGGGCATGACTGGTGACATTTAGTGCCTAAAAGGGCGGATGGACCATCATTAAGCACAGAAAAGAAAGACGGGTCGATAACCGGTCGACACTTAAAATTAATTATTAGCCACCTTGCATAAGCTAGAGTTTGAATTGAGACTTGAGATAAATTGAGTTGAACGATTTTAATTTGACAGACTATTAAACATTTAGATTCTACGTATACTTCGACGATGCTGCGTAACCATACTGCATAGTTATATGTGGTCAGCTATTATCTTTAGCTCACAATGCATAACTTGAACACGATTCGATATTGTTTAAGACAAATAAGAGAATTTTGATATTAAGTTCTACCTATGAATCTATAATGAAATAAGGTTTACTGAGTTTTACAGTCTTTCCTATTAACTCGAAGTCACGCATAAAAAGTGGTATAGCAGGATAAAAACGGTTTACTAAAATTAATATTTCGTAAGCTGTATCGGGATTGATTTAGATTTCAAAAAAATTGCTGAAAGCAGCTCAAGTTGATGGATGACCGCTCAAACACAAACAGAAGAAAGTTTATATTTTATGTTTATTACGGATTTTGATACAACAAATGCGTTTTGGATTTGATTTTGTGGTTAATGTCGACATCGTTTGCAAATGTCAACAAATACGCTACAATTTGTTGCCAATCTAATTAACATTATCTTGGGTGAACCCAACGTAAACCTTTTTGAATGGCGGCATGACCAAGTGGTAAACGCGTTTCCAACCCTGTCAGCGGCAAGCCGTTGTTTCTTTTGGCAAGAAACTTTTTCCAGATATTCTGTACATTCATTGCTTATAAGTAATTAGTTCAAGGAACGGATTCGAGAGTATTTGAATAAAATTATAGCTTACTACACAATCGAACTAACAAAAGATTGTATAAACTAAACCGTATGTGAGATGTAAGCAGTGAACAGTGAGCTAAGCAAAAGGCAATACAATTTATATAGGGAAATCAATGTTCTGCTGTAATGCTCAAGTGGCAGACCAATATAGCAGGGCATCCTTTAATATAGTATAAAATTGCTCTGCGGGAATGCTGAGCAGGCAGACCAATATAGAAGGGCATCCTTTAATATAGTATAAAATTGCTCTCCTGGAATGCTGAGCTGGCAGACCAATATAGCGGGCATCCTTTAATATAGTATAAAATTGCTCTGCTGATATGCTGAGCAGGCAGACCAATATAGCAGGCATCCTTTAATATAGTATAAAATTGCTCTGCTGATATGCTGAGCAGGCAGACCAATATAGCAGGCATCCTTTAATATAGTATAAACTTGCTCTGCTGGAATGATGAGCAGGTAGACTAATATAGCAGGGCATCCTATAATATAATATAAAATTGCTCTGCGGGAATGCTGAGCAGGCAGACCAATATAGCAGGGCATCCTTTAATATAGTATAAAATTGCTCTCCTGGAATGCTGAGCTGGCAGACAAATATAGCGGGCATCCTTTATTATAGTATAAAATTGCTGAGCTGGTAGACCAATATAGCAGGCATCCTTTAATATAGTATAAACTTGCTCTGCTGGAATGCTGGGCTGGCATACAAATATAGCGGGGCATCTTTTGATATAGTATACAATTGCTCTGCTGGAATGCTGAGCTGGCAGACCAATATAACAGGGAATTCTTTAATATAGTATAAAATTGCTCTCCTGGAAAGCTGAGCGGCAGACCAATATAACAGGGAATTCTTTAATATAGTATAAAATTGCTCTGCAGGAATGCTGAGCTAGCAGACAAATATAGCAGGGCATCCTTTAATATAGTATAAAAATGCTCTGCTTGAATGCCGAGCTGGCAGACCAATAAAGCGGGGCATCCTTATACAGTATAAAATTGCTCTGCTGATATGCCAAGCTGGCAGACCAATATAGCAGGGCATCCTTTAATAAAGTATGAAATTGCTCTGCTGGAAAACTGAGCGGGCAGACCAATATAGCAGGGCATCCTTTAATATAGTATAAAATTGCTCTGCTTGAATGCTGAGCTGGCAGAACATTATAGCAGGGCATCCTTTAATATACTATAAAATTGCTCTGCTTGAATGCTGAGCTGGCAGACCAATATAGCGGGGCATCCTTTAATAAAGTATAAATTTGATCTGCTGGAATGCTGACCGGCAGACCAATTAATCGGAGAATCCTTTAATATAGTATAAAATTGCTCTGCTGGAATGCTGAGCTGGCAGACCGATATAGCGGGGCATCCTTTAATATAGTATAAAATTGCTCTCCTGGAATGCTGTGTTGCCAGACCAATATAGCGGGGCATCCTTTAATATAGTATAAAATTGCTCTGCTGGAATGCTGTGCTGGCAGGCCAATAAATCGGTGCATCCTTTAATATAGTATAAAATTGCTCTGCTGGAAAACTGAGCAGGCAGACCAATTTAGCGGGGCATTCATTAATATAGTATAAAATCGCTCTGCTGGAATGCTGAGCTGGCAGACCAATATAGCAGGGCATCCTTTAATATAGTATAAAATTGCTCTGCTTGAATGCTGAGCTGGCAGACCAAAAAAGTGGGGCATTCTTTAATATATTATAAAATTGCTCTGCTGGAATACTGAGCTGGCGGACCAATATAGCAGGGCATCCTTTAAAATAGTGTAAAAATTGCTCTGCTGGAATGCTGAGCTGGCAGACCAATATAGCGGGGCATCCTTTAATATAGTATAAAATTGCTCTCCTGGAATGCTGTGTTGCCAGACCAATATAGCGGGGCATCCTTTAATATAGTATAAAATTGCTCTGCTGGAGTGCTGAGCTGGAAGACCAATAAAGCGGGGCATCCTTTATTATGGCATAAAATTGCTCTGATGGAATGCTGAGCTGGCAGAACAATATAGCAGGGCATCCTTTAATATACTATAAAATTGCTCTGCTTGAATGCTGAGCTGGCAGACCAATCAAGCGGGGCATCCTTTAATATAGTATAAATTTGATCTGCTGGAATGCTGAGCTGGCAGACCAATTAATCGGAGCATCCTTTAATATAGTATAAAATTGCTCTGCTGGAATGCTGAGCTGGCAGACCGATAAAGCGGGGCATCCTTTAATATAGTATAAAATTGCTCTCCTGGAATGCTGTGTTGCCAGACCAATATAGCGGGGCATCCTTTAATATAGTATAAAATTGCTCTGCTGGATTGCTGAGCTGGCAGGCCAATAAATCGGAGCATCCTTTAATATAGTATAAAATTGCTCTGCTGGAAAACTGAGCAGGCAGACCAATTTAGCGGGGCATTCATTGATATAGTTTAAAATCGCTCTGCTGGAATGCTGAGCTGGCAGACCAATATAGCAGGGCATCCTTTTATATAGTATAAAATTGCTCTGCTTGAATGCTGAGCTGGCAGACTAAAATAGCGGGGCATTCTTTAATATATTATGAAATTGCTCTGCTGGAATACTGAGCTGGCGGACCAATATAGCTGGGCATCCTTTAAAATAGTGTAAAAATTGCTCTGCTGGAATGCTGAGCTGGCAGACCAATATAGCAGGGCATCCTTTAATATAGTATAAAATTGCTCTCCTGGAATGCTGTGTTGCCAGACCAATATAGCGGGGCATCCTTTAATATAGTATAAAATTGCTCTGCTGGAGTGCTGAGCTGGAAGACCAATAAAGCGGGGCATCCTTTATTATGGTTTAAAATTGCTCTGCTGGAATGCTGAGCAGGCAGACCAATATAGCAGGGCATCCTTTAATATAGTATAAAATTGCTCTGCTGGAATGCTGAGCAGGCAGACCAATATAGCGGGGCATCCATTAATATAGTATAAAAGCTCTCCTGGAATGCGAAGCAGACATACCAATATAGCAGGGCATCCTTTAATATAGTATAAAATTGCTCTGCTAGAATGCTGAGATGGTAAGGCAGAGCAATATAGCAGGACATTACACAATAACGTGTAAAAATGCCCTGCTGCTGGAATGCTCAGCTAGCTAGCCAATCTAGCAGGGCATTCCTAAATTATGTGTAAAATACTCTCCTGTGATGCTTAACTGGCTAAGCAATCTAGCAGGGTATCTCTAAATGTAGTGCAAGAAATGTTTTGGTGCAATGCTCAGCTGGCAGAGCAATATAGCAGGACATATCAACATATAGTGTAAAAATGCTCTGCTAAGTAATCTACAATGGCATTCCGAAATACAGTGTACATTGTCTGCTGAAATGCCATCTTGCTGGTCAATCTAGGGGGGCATTTCTAAAAAAGGTGTAAAAAATGCTAAGCTGGCTAGGCAATCTAGCAGTCCATTCTAAAATAAAGTGTAAAAATACTCACAGGAATGCTAAGCTAGCAGATCAATCTAGCAGAGCATTTTTAAATAAATTGTTAAGAGTAAAAAGGCTCAACTTGAATGCTCTGCTGGCAGAGAAATACAGCTTAACATTCCAAAATATAGAGTGAAATGTAGTTAAAATGACTAGCTCGGAATTTCAGCAGAGCCTTTTGTGCTTTACTTAAAAATGCCCTACTAGTGTGCTTAGATAGCTAAGCATTCTAGTAGAGCACTTTGCACTAAACATGTATTTAGGAACCCCCTGCTAGACTGCCTAGCCAGCTGAGCATTCCAGCAGAACATTTTACACTACATTTCAGAATGCTCTGTTATATTGCCTACCTAGCTGAGCATTATTTCAAACTATATTTAGGAATGCCCTGTTAGATTGTCTAGCCAGCTGAGTATTCAAACAGAACATTTTTACACTATACATGTATTTAGGAGTGCCCCGCTACATTGCCTAGCCAACTGAGCATTCCAACAGAGCATTTTTACACTATACATGTATTTAGAAGTGCCCCGCTACATTGCCTAGCCAACTGAGCATTCCAACAGAGCATTTTTACACTATACATGTATTTAGGAGTGCCCCGCTACATTGCCTAGCCAACTGAGCATTCCAACAGAGCATTTTTACACTATACATGTATTTAGGAGTGCCCCGCTACATTGCCTAGCCAACTGAGCATTCCAACAGAGCATTTTTACACTATACATGTATTTAGGAGTGCCCCGCTACATTGCCTAGCCAACTGAGCATTCCAACAGAGCATTTTTACACTATACATGTATTTAGGAGTGCCCCGCTACATTGCCTAGCCAACTGAGCATTCCAACAGAGCATTTTTACACTATACATGTATTTAGGAGTGCCCCGCTACATTGCCTAGCCAACTGAGCATTCCAACAGAGCATTTATACACTATATTTAGCAATGCCCTGCTAGATTTCCAAAACAGCTGAGCATTACAACAGATCATTGATTTCCTATATAAATTGAAATGCCTTTTTGCTTAGCTCACTGTTCACTGCTAACTATTCACATCCTTTTTACTTTCGCTTTCGGTATTTAGAGAGTGATACTTTACGGCCTCCATAGTTATAAATCGATATCTGGGGAAGAGTTCGCCTGCTTGCTGCAAACAGAATCATCACCTTTTATCTAACAAAAGATGGAATTAAAATCATATATTCTGATTTGTGTGATAGCTTGTAAGTACAATGTTTACATAATGAATTGTTTTTTCTTAATCATTATTTTGATAGGGAAATATTAACTGTTTACCTGTTTAATTATATGCTGTGTAAATACTGGGTAAAATGTCTGAATGTGTTTCTTTGTTGTGACGCAAACAAGTAACAATTTGCAACATAACTTAAAAGAAACAACATCAATAAAAAAAACACACAAAAAAGCATAAAACCAAAAAAAATGAAAATAAAATAAAAAAAAATAAAAAAAAGGGAAAAGCAAGAAAATGAAGAAACACAATATAGAAAAGATGTTAGATCTACACACGAGAGTTTATAATAATTGTTGTTGCGTGTCTAATATAACATTCTGTGCATACCATTTAACACCGTGTTTAATGTAAATAATTATGCCTATTTTCTTCTGTTGTTAACACAGTTGGTATGGAACTCAAGAAAGAGCGTACTTTGTTAACATTACATTTTGTTATGTTTCATGATAAATTATTTTACATTCAGGCCTACTTTCTTATATTGAATATAACTCTAAAATTTGGGTTCATGATTATCATCCAAATTCTTTAGACGCAAAAAGCAATAACTCACTGTTTTTCCTTTTTTCTTGCACAATTTTTACTGCTTTTACAAACTTTGATGATTTAATTTCAGATTTTATCACTATTGTCTGAGTTCAATTATCACTATAGTCTATTGTATAGGTTCAGTTGTCATTATTGTCTAGGTTTAGTTATCATTATTTTGTTGATTGTCAAGATTTAGTCATTATTGTTTAGGTTTAGTTAACATTATTGTCTAGGTTTAGTTATCATTATTGTCTAGGTTTATTTATCATTATTGTCTAGGTTCAGTTATTATTATTGTCTAGGTTTAGTTATCATTATTGTCTAGGTTCAGTTATCATTATTGTTTAGGTTTGGTTATCATTATTGTGTCTAGGTTTAGTTATCATTATTGTCTAGGTTTGGTTATCATTATTGTCTAGGTTTAGTTATTATTATTGTCTACGTTTGGTTATCATTATTGTCTAGGTTTAGTTATGACTGTTGTCTAGGTTTATTTATCAATATTGTCTGGGTTCAGGTATCATTATTGTCTAGGTTCAGTTATCATTTTTGTTTAGGTTTAGTTAGTAACAAGGATCACAAAGTCATCGCATGAACTTTGCACAAATCAGTCTTTCTATTTGGTCCAGCAAATAGATCGATGATAAGTCTATTAGATTAATTGCCAGGGGTCTACTTAGCACGACTGTAACCTTATATCCCAGTCTAATATCCATAAAATATTCACGAATTTATGGCATTATCGACCTGAACGTTTGGTTAAATGACTATAAAGAAATAAAACGGTGTTTTCATGTATGACCTTTTCCAGTGTTTTCAACATCTCATCAGTAACTGATGTATGGTTCATGCACGTGGACGTTTCTATATAACACTTTAATCAACCTTACATGATTTATTTTTACTTCCAGAGATATTGCTTTTACTTGAAATATTTCTCCCCAATTAGAATATATACATATTCAATCGAAATATTTGGTTACCGTCACCAAGAATTATTTCATTGCTATTTTTCTATTACACCGCGTATTACACTTTGTGTGAAAAATATAATTTGAAATTTTGATTCCATCAGAACTTGCTCTATATACATATTCTGGTGTTTTCCTACATATTGTAAATTGTGTGCTATAGACTGGTACTACATGTACATTCTTCTTCTTCTTGAATTATATACGCTCTACATTAGCCAGTCTGTCTGTTGGAAGCATTGATTTTCCAATATTTAATATCTCTACAACTGACCAAGTTACACTGGTATGCAAATATATGACATTTGTTTGTACTGTCTGAGCTTCTTCAACATCTCAACAGATAGTGTCGGCAAGGAAGCAAATCGTTTAAATCGCCTATGCCAAAAACAGCAGGAGGGAGGGTGGCGGGGGGAGAAAGTGCAATGTTTTAGTTGGTCATTATAGGCCTTTAAAACTGATGAAGATAAATCATTCAGCTTCCAGCGAAATCTTGAATCAAATCATATTTTATATACTCCTAGATAAGCTAGTTTTAAATAATGGTGATACTTTTGACGCCATGGAAAGGCAATGCACGACGAACTCATACTGTTTTATACACAATAATGCACCATGTGTTTCCGGTAATTTTGTGCCGATCTTAAAACTTTTTTATTCATAATATCCGAAAAACTCACTCCTTATCTAGACATACCACAAAGAACGTTATTTCCCATCTGGACATTTTATTATACATGTCATATACACTGCCTTCACAGCAAAATATATAAATTATGTTTTTATTACCTTTTGATATTGGTCCAGAACAATGTAATAATATATTTGTATTGTATTTGTAACATCGGATAATTTGTACTTAAATATTCATTTGACATTACAAAATATGAAATTTGTCCATCGTATTGCAACCAAAATATCCTTATTTAGAAATAAAGAGAATGAAGTAGTCTTTTCCGGTTCAACTAGGACAGACTGTAGAAAACAATATGTGTAAAAAAAGATTTCATCAATTCATGATAATAATAATTGACATGTAATTAGTTTATGAAGGGCTCGTGGGAAATATCAAGCTTCATACAATATAGAATTTATTGTATTGATTGTAATGATAAAACTTGACTGTGACATTTAGAAAGATCCGATAAAACAATTACCTAAATTGTTTGCATGGAACTAACTTAATGGGAAATAGCAGAATAATTATAAAATTGCCTCAACAGCCAGACTCATCGTAACGATTATCTACGATCAAAGAAAATCACAAACGATTAAATAAATTATTAAATAATATATGTATGTGTAATTATATATGTCACTCAGCAATAGAAAATGTGCATTAAATATCGTTGTGAATAAAATGTCACAAGGATATTGCAATTCTGTATAAAATTATGTTTAATGTGTGGATTTACTATTATTATTATTTTTGAGCTTATTGCGTATATTATTCATATAGTTAAACCACTGAAGCATATAACTGCTACATAAAATATAAATATTACCAGGGTTTTACATAATGTTTGTAACTACATTCATTATTTATATTCACCCACGTTTGTTTTTGCAAATAAAATTCCAAGAATTCAAGTACCATTGTTGTCAAAGTGGCGATTAAAAGACAGAGTTTTAACAAAGAAATAAATTCATGTTCTTTTACAAAAACTATAATTTAGCTGTATGATTAATTTGAGTGTAAAAAAAGAGTCAATCAACACGTCATAAAAATCCATAATAAGCTCTCTTCAAGTACGTTATTATATAAAATAATCTTAAATTTTGAAACAACAAAATCTTCCAAGTCATGGGTATGAATTCGTGCTTACATATTGTTAAAATATATCTGGTAAAATCTGCATGTTCATCATTACATTAAACTATTGTATACAACACAATGTAACACAAGTAACATTCCTCTCGTATATTTCTATCTGACGTACATTTGTCAGACGCCGTTTAGCAATTTTTACTTGGTTATGATGAATTGCAGGATGTCTGGGCATCGCATAAAAATATCAGTATTTTTACGGACAAAAACAGATTCTAAATGGCAGACATTTTGTCAAGAACCGATCGATTACCAACATTTCCATAATAATGATTTTGCCAAATTAGTTTCAAGCATGTTTGGCAAGATTTACCATATCGTGAACAATACTGGTGTATCATATAAAATGCCCCCAAGTTATTGCCAAGATTTCTACACTTTGTACAAAAAAGACTTTGTATTTAGTTCATTTTCTGACAACTTAAAGGGATTTGTGGATTCAACAATATGATTATACATGTACATTATGACATCATCTAAGTTCTGACTTAATGTATTCAGTTGAATTATCATCATAACAAATTGATATACATATTCTCCACAGCACAATATGTTTGAACTGTTGAACATGAAAAATTACCAATTCAATAATAAAACCAATAAAACAATTAATATCTAAAGCTCTATATGAGTCATTCAAGGTCTTTCATGCTTTACATATTGATTGTTCAAAGCCATACTGCCAGTTGTTCTGCAAATATTTTATCCATAGATTGTGTAACACATGGAGAGAGAGGTTTGGTTTAGTGCCAATAGAAATCAAAGCACTGAAAGGTCTTTTATTGGCAAACTTCGAATAGTTTATGCAAGTACATTATAAAATAAATTAGTACGCAATAAGCTTATAACTCCTGGTGTAAATCGCGGGCAGACATTGCGTTACAAATTCTAAGGTATAACAAAAGATAAAAGAAAAAGTCATTACGTATATTGGTTATAAAAGTGATTGGAAAGTTGCATAAATATTTCAAAATTCATTCACCAATCGTTCTAAACAAACGTGAATTCTTTAAATTAATTTCAAATTTAAACAACTGAAAATGACAATTTAATGATCAACGCTATTTTATTTATTTTTAATCTATTTTTAATTTTTTAATCATCTGAAAAACGATGCATTACCAAAGAAATGTTTTCGCAAGTAAATTGAGTACAAAAAGTGTAAGCATATATTAACTATAATATAATATGAAAGATCAACTGATTTGGCTGATTTGGAACGCCTTTGTGCGTCGTGTTGGCGCTAGCGACAAGGCAACGCGCAATATACCAAATCAGCCACCATAATCAACTGAACATTGCACAATGCAATACAACTTTTACTTTGACAGAAACAGATAAGATAAAGGTCGTGTCAGTTGTGGAGATTATGTGGTCCATGTTGCTATGAGCTATATTGATCACCTGCATATCTCATATAAGTGAGTCAAGTGAGAAGAAACAGATTTCCCACAGTGGTGATAGACACCACTCTACCAATGATTTTATACGAACAAAGCTCACTATATAATGTTAGTAGTGGATATCGATTGTAGGAAACATCTGTTTTAGATTCATATAAATGTTAATATTGAAATATTGACATATATATCACTGTATGATGCTAGTTTACATATAACCTAACTAGACATACAGTGG